ATGGGCAATCAATTGCACGCGACCGGATTATTCGACTGGCGGAAAAGGTCAACCGTACTGATTAACCGTATGTTGTGTGTGTGTTTGGCGAAGAGAAGAGGAGAACAGCGAGCACGGTGGAGGGTGAACTGAAAAGAGAAGTAATAGGGCGATACCGGTGCGTTCATCCCCTTCGGCCTTTTTATATATAAACCCTAATGCGCCGTGTTTGACTAGTATCCGTATCACGAAAATTCGCTATTAAACCATATATACTAAACGGCGATCTCTATGTTTCATCTTTCCGCGTGTGTGTGTACCCAACCCAACCATAAGACGTGCGGTTAAAAATGACAAGAACGTCCGATGAGAGGGCCGAGTGGAAAAAAATGGACATGTTTTTTTTTTCCGAAACTATTATTACGTTAAGCCGGGAGGGTTTTCTTCTCCCCTCAAATAAGAGCTACCGACACACGTTTGACCGATACTGCTCAATTGTAACGCATGGCGTTTTTCGGTACCTCTGCATATTATCGTTTAACACGCGAACCTGGGCAGAGTTAAATGAAAGTCTCATAAACATTGACATCCCAATGATACCCGTAACAACACTACGTTAGTCCTCGTGCGGGACTGATTACCCGGCCGCGCCTGATGCAGTTAAACGAGTTAATTTTTTTAATAAAATAATAGTCGTTTTATCAAATTATACGGTTTAGTTTGGAAGAACGATTTGCGTGATAATTTATGAATTTTAAACGTCGGCCCTGATATGGGTTAACACATAAAATAAATTAGATCCTAAACCCATTTAAAATTACTAATGTCGAAATTCCAATAAATTATAATGAATTTAATTTAATATTACATGTTGTGGAGCTAATAAATAAAACGAAAAATAAACGTTGATTTTTAATTATTAATAAAACATTTATGTGATCGGTTCATAGCCATTATATACAAATACCAATAAAGTAATATTTCGCTAAAATATACTAAAATAACAATTTTTGATGGTTATAGTTTTTTTGACACATATTTTCCTATTAATAATGTCGAAAATAAACATTGAATACGACTAGTAAAAATTTGAACGGATATCCGCATCAGTATTTTTAACAATAACATCAATAAAATCAACATGAATTAGGCTAACATTGACAAGCTCTAATATATAATACATGTATCTACTGCGAATGAACAAAAATTCGTACTTGTTATTATGATTTTTGTTACTACAATGATAATAATGGGAAAGTATGTAAAAATAAAAACTAGCATTTCTTAATTTCACCTTAATAAGTCGCATGAATTACTTGTAATATAAATTGTATATTCGTGTCAGTAGTCATAAGTGAGTGACGAAGATATGACAAAATTAATCATTTCAGATTTAGCAGATATTTCATGTTACTTTCTTTTTCCAATAATTGTTACACTTTTAGAGTACAATTTTAATATTATAAGTAATTTTTTTTTATTTTACTAAAAAAAAAAAGTTTAAACATTAATGTTAAAAAAAAAAGAATTAAAAAAGCCATTTTTGTTGAATAAATCTTTAAAAAATAATATCGTATAAAAATATCTTATTGTTTTGAAGTTGAACTTTTTAATTACTTCAAAGTTTGTAAAATTGTTAATTCTTTTTAGTATACTTAACTATATTAGCCGATAATCATGTTGAAAAACATAAAAGTACGTGCATTAATTTCACACTAATGTTAGTTTTATACTTAGACTTTTTTCCATGAAAATTGTCATTGTTTGAATGAGAACTGAATAAAATTGATACCAATTTATTGAAATTAATCTTGTGCATAAATTAATGAAAGCTTAATAATTGTAATTTATTCTTGCATTACAATATTCATTATTTTTAAAAAAAATCAACTTAAGGTAAGCCTGTGTGAATTATAATTACAATTTTTATAAATTTTATACTAATCAAGAAATATGTAATTATTTAGTTATAATGTTTTGTAAAGTGTAACCAAATCAAATATTTCAAAACTCGATAATAATAATAGTTGCTAAAAAATAAGATATTGTGCAACAAATTAAATTATGAAAAATAAGTAAAATTTTTCCTTATTTATGTTTAAGAATTCGTTTATTTAAGTATTGAAAATAATTTCAAAAAAGTAATAAAAGATTTTGATACAAGATTTTATTTTAAAGATGTATTCTCTTTTCAATTGTTTTTTTTAACCTTTGACGTAAATGTTCAATTTTTTTTTTTTTGCAACTAAAAAAATAATTTATTATGTTAAAATTGTATATTGTAAATCTATTACTGAAAAAAGGAAGTAACGTAAAATATTTACTAAATCAAAAGTTATTAGTAATAATTATTAGATTTGTTATATCTTCGTGTTTCACTCTGTATATTATGGAAAAATGCAAATGAATTCTTTATATTAAAAAAAGTTCATTATGATCAATAAATGTGCTGTACAAATGACAAAAATAATTCTGTACAAGCTCCCAAATATAAGCAGTTTTTTTATTGAATTCGTTTGATACAATATGATTTATATGTAATTGTATTTAAATACCTATAAAAAACAAATATTCTTTATGAAACCATTATACTCAAACATAAAATTGTAAAAAGTTACACGTAGATCAGCTAGTACCCTGTTAAGTTTATATATAACGTTGTGGTAATTGGCATTTTCATATCAATTTTGGATGTATAAAATTTTATTGCATGATGTTTTTTATAGTTCTGTTACCCACGACGTAGTAAATTTTATGAACACATTTTAAATACTGTGAAAATTATAGTTAACACTAATTGATTGGCTGTTGCAATAAATCTGTTCAAAGTAGTGCAATAAATGACGAGACAATCATAATATTAGTATACACATTTTCTTAAACTCTTTACAGAACACATTTTTTGCTGTACTGGCACAAGTTTTTTTTTTATGGTTGTAATAAAATGATATAGTAACTCGATCAGACCACATATGAGTACATCGTTCTCATGGCAATGGCGTAGTATAATTTTTTTACGGTTTGTTCTTCGTAGTACCTATTAATATGGCTATATTGTACATAGGAGATGTTATTACAATGTAATGACAGTAAACTACACGTTCATCGGTCGTCATAAATAAAATTACTCAANCATCGTTCTCATGGCAATGGCGTAGTATAATTTTTTTACGGTTTGTTCTTCGTAGTACCTATTAATATGGCTATATTGTACATGGGAGATGTTATTACAATGTAATGACAGTAAACTACACGTTCATCGGTCGTCATAAATAAAATTACTCAACATTTGTTTTGAGATAAAAAATTACAGAAAATGTTTAATATTACTGAATTTTGGTTAATGTTAAGCAGTGTGATTATAATATTTTTATAATTAATTAGCTTTTTCGTACTTTATACACCCAGAGAAAAACCTCGATTTATATAATAAATTCATTGTTCAATTTGATAAATATATCATTACTATTGAATCAATGATATATTTATCAATATGATATTTTTTTTTCTTGTCTTGAACAATAATTATTTATAAGAATAGTTATTTTGTTCGTATTAATAAAACATTATCATAAACCCTTGATAAAATTTCTCTTTCAATTTTGATTGAGGTTTTTCTTTGGGTGTACTAGTTCATAAATTCGATCATAAGAAAAAAATCGTAAAAAACATTTAATTATAAGCCATTTATTTAAATCAATTAAACAAAATAACGGTTTACCCATAATTTGACTTCGTAAAAAATATAAATGCCTTACAAAAAAAAACTAGATGTTATATACAAATTAAGTGTAAGATGATTGAAAAGTATTTTAATTGTTGCTTTATTCTTAGTTAAACCTAATAATATATATAAATTGTATAATATATACTGTTCATTCATGACATATTAATTATTTTTTTGTTGTTCTTAAACGGTGTGAATATAATTAATCGGATCTACTTCCTCAAAGATCACACGAGAATAAAACCTCATATTAACTTATGTAATACATTCTATGACGTTTTTAATGAGGTTTACAACATAATCTTAGATGTATAAGGTGATTTAATCCATCCCGACACGATACTGTAACTTTTTACTCAATTAAAAAAAAAAACAAATATAAGACCAACACTATTGTAGTATAAAGGAGAAAGGAATCATCAAGTTGATTAAGAAAAAAACATTATTTCTTTTTATTATTTTTATATTTCTCGTTTAATCATAGATACTGGTATCTTTTTAGACAAGAAAAATTAAGTAGCACACAACAAATGTATAATACAATTATATAGTAAGGCGATCAGAGTTTTATGATCAGAATCTAAAATATACAATAAAACATCGGTAGTAGATACTAATAAATTATAGTAAAAAAAAAAAAGATATGTACAAAGTATAATTCTTTTTCAAAACGTGAGCATAGTTTTTGTTCTCAATTAATTTAATATTGTTCAAAGTTTAGCACCAGTTTTGAAAAAAAAAAAGAAACAGTATAGGAACAGTGGTTTGTCATATTTATATTACATTTACCTTTTCGAATTAACATCTTTTGTACTGGTCGATTTATAATAATGTTAGAATTAGAATTTGTTTAGTTAAAGTCGCATAGTTTATATCATTTTTTTTTTGTAATGATGAAGGGAAGAGGGTAATAAAATCTATTGTAATTTCAAATTACAATCTACAATTTAAAATTTGTTTACTAAATCTATCTTAAAAACTACTCTTTTCATATACTACAATAAACTTTTTATAAATAATATTTATAATAATACTATTGCACTTTTTTTTCTAACATAAGTATATTTATATAACATATACATTTCCTAATTGATAAATAATTTATAATTTTATATCCATCTATTTACTAAAGTGACAATGCCTTTTGTTTATAATAATAGTCATATTTACAACAGTAGTAGTAATAGTATTATTTAATTTAAGTTATGTATAAATATATATATACCAAAAACAAATAAATAAAAAAGAAATAATAATAATAAAGCTAAATTGGGAAACTTGTAGAAGAAGATACTATAAGATTACATAATAATTATATTATTAAATCGATTTTTTACTTAACCGCTGTTGGCTGTTCTTCGGATGAGTCTAATCCGTTGACCATTTTTTCTATAGACTTAAGATCGCTCGAGGGTGTGGGATTTCCGGTTTGGGGTTTACGTTCGGGTGTCGGCGACTTATGTCGGCCGTTAGTAGGCGACTGTAGATCAAGTGGTGCGGGTGGCGGAGTGCTGCCGGCAGACGAGCAACGGCCCGGCGTGACGGTCTCGAAAGCTGAACCGACCGACGATGGGTTGTGGTGCAATCCCAAGTGGTACGGATGAAACCGACTTAGATTGGACAAGCCGCCGGTCATTTTGAACGGATGTGAGCCGGCAGCACCCTGCAAATACGCCTGGGTGAATAGCGATCCGGGATGGTGGGCGGCCAGGGCCAATTGTGCGTTGAACAGCAGATTGGTAGTGGGACTGAGGGCGGACGGGCATAGGGGGCCACCCAGTCCGGTAGCACCCGGATACATGCCGGGGTAGAGGTACGGCAGTAGGTGAGGGGACGGTGGAATAGGGGGTCCAAATGACACGTTAGGCGAAGGATAGTCACTAGGGCTGTGTGCAGGTCCTAAGGAAAACAAAATTAAAACTCGCAGTTAGAAAAATTACAAACATACAAAAAACATACATGAAAAACGTTTAAAATGTCAGTAGTAAAAAGTGTGCTACAATAAATCTTACCAGACGGTCCAGCCGAATCTTTTTCCGATGGAGAGTTCATTCGTTCTCGACCAGATTCGGAACAACTACTTTCTTGTTCACTATCGATTTCATGATGAGCAGCTTGTTGATGATGTTGAAGGAAAGCCGCGTGGTGAAGAGCGGGATGGCCTGCCAGTCGCCTTCTCATAGCGTCTTCAAGAAGCAAGCTACCGTCAGCTAGACCCGAGAACCAAGAACCTGAACACACAAAAAACGATTATTAGAAACCGGAATAAAATTCACTGAACAAAAAATACTAAACACTTACCCGGTTGGTGTAGTTGATGGTGATTATTATGATGCGAAGAAAGTGGCGAGTCCGGATCTCCTCCGACGACGTCCAGTGGTTTGTCATCTTCGTGATCCGAACCAGTCTGAATGTGGTGTTTTTCGTCATTGCCCATTTGCGACGCTTGACTGCCATGTCTCTGAGCCGCTAGCATTGCTTGTCTGAAACACAATGACGTTGATAATACTTTATGGGGAAGACGCGTTAAGATAATTTGCAAGAAAAATAAAACATACACAATGATAGAATCAATGTGTTGGTTTTTGTTGGTATTGTATTTGAAATGTGTAAGAATCGTTGGGTCGATGAAATTATGTTATACGACGATACATGTTTACAAACCAGTTTTTTTATTGCCACCGAACGCAAACGCTGCTTACAGTATGTATTTTATTATACGTTTATTATTATCGTTTCTACGCTTAGTTTTCAGTGCATAAAACCTGCACTTGCACGGGGCATGGCGCCCGAAATTTTATAACGCCATTAATAGTTAAACGCATAATATTAAATGTACACCCAAATTATGCGTTTGCAAATACCAACGGTCAGTGCACCACAGAATCGAGATAACATTAATAAAATTCTATTTAAATTACACTATGGATTTGGAGATCATTCCGACTCTACAAGTCTAATTGGTCCTGATCGAGGACGTTTGATTGAAATATGCCTACATTGTGTTTGCTTGGGATTCCCCAATTGTTCTCGGTGACCTAAAACCCGAAACGACAAACAGGAATGAAATTCATCAGAAAAAAAATAACGGCCGAATATGTTTTATAGACACACGTTAGCGGATAACACATATGAAAAAAAAAGCACACGACAAAAGCGCAACGCTGCACGAAGATATAATTACGTATAATAGGCGTCATGGATCGGATTTATATTTTACAGCACAACCGTATCATTATAATTACAACGTGGAAGTCGGGCTTATTATTATATTTTTATTTTTGCATGTCTGACGGTTTCGATGTGTATACGATTATTATTTTAATGCTCACCCAGGATTTTATCACGCCATTAAAAATAAAAATTTAATTTAAAAAAAATATACCGCAAGGCCTTGCATATGTACATACCACATGCAGGTGTTGGACAAACAATAACTTTTATGGATGACCCCAACCGGTATACAATAACAACATTACTATGCTCTGTTTCCACAAAGCTATTGCAAATATTATTGTCGCTGTAAAGTGTACGGATATCATGTTTAAACAGTTATTGGCTGCTCCGAGTGCACTTTATTCGCCATCGAGTACGAGAAACCTCCCGCGGCGTTGGACGAATGACACCGATCGCTTTTCTTTTTAAAGCATTAAATATTTACGATTTTTTCTTTTAATAAAAAAAAAACCACCGATTGTTTCTAGAGGTTTTCAATAAAGTAGTCGATGAATGAACGGAGTAAACTCGGCGCTCGTCGACCTCCATCAGTGTCTCTCCATCTACTAGAAGAGAGTGTCTCTTTTCAAAATTAATACTATAGAATTAATTTCCCGGATGATTTGGTTCTTAGATGTTTGTGTGTATTTAATCAATGGGTGTGTACCCGCCGCGCACTATGTACACACAAGGAGATTTATTACACGGTCAGTGTACACGCACGCGCGTGGAATTCATTCTTTGGCACCTCAAGGTGCTGTGCACAGGTTAACAATAATAATAATAAAAATAATGATAATAATCGCGTTTCGAGGTGCGAGTACACGCGGACGTGCATGTCTGTCTGGGAATTAAACAAATTAGTGTACATACAGTCGGTGTGCGCACAATAATGTGATGCGCCTTGTTGTACTATAATATTATCACTTGTACGGTGCGCTATTGGACTGTACAGTTTCCGGTTGGCGGTTTATGAAGCCTTACGCGCTTCAAAAGTCCGAATGACCTATTAAATGTTATTCAAAGGCTCGTGTTACACACTGGCAAGCATTCGCGAAGAGTACAAACGCGGCAAGGAATCACTTTTGTAATAAATTCAGTTGACGGTAGAAATAAAAAGTTATTAGATTACTGAAAAATGTTTTAAAATTACTAGTTACTCTCGGTTTGTCCAAAATCGTGTGATTTTTCTCATTCCTCTTCATTTAGTCCATAGAACGATTAAAAAAAAAACTTTACCAAATAAATAACAAAGATTAACAATTAGGCGACCGTGTTGTTTTTAATATGGTTAGAGTTACGAGCAAAAGGTTTCGAGCCAATACTCGACGAGTAAACATTATGTGCGTATGGAAAATGACCCAGGACGAAATAATTAAAATAAAAAATAAAAAGACCTTTTTTAGGGTTAGGCCAGTGAATTATATGCGCGACAAAACCCCGGGAGACCGTTTAAAATGTTTCGGGTTATGCGGTTTTTTTGGATCTTGTCCCCTCTCTCTCCACCGGAATTAAATGAGCCGCATCGAACCCGGCCGTCATTATGATCCACTGATATCTGGTGGGCGTCGACTTTTAAAATTAAAAGGCCTTTCGATGCGATGCCCTTTTGTGGTGTCATTAGCGGGTTCTTTCTCCGACACAATACACGACTTCTTTCTGCTCCCGCCAAGCGTGTGCAAAGGCTAATAAAAAAAAAAAAAAAAAAGGAAAGCTGGCATCCGTAACTCGTGGCCGCCAAACCCTGTGTAGTCACCGTTGTCGCGCTCTTTGACCTTTATATCCGACCGACGACGCCTTGTTCATGTGATTAGAGGGTAGGCAAAAGCGTATCGTCAACACGTATAATCAATAACGGTTGTTGATCCCGGCTCAGTTAAGCATTTTATTCATCGCCTCTAATTCGTTGTTAATTTTCCAAAAATATTTAATTGATTATATAAATTTTACACTAGACATTAACGGTGAATATAATCACGTAAAAATGTTCAAAAAAAGTAGGTGCTAAGTGTAGCGATGGAAGACGAGAGACGGGTATTATGACTGGTTTGTACCAGACACCGTCAATGAGATAATCACAAGAAAAATCTCGTTGTCACCCTGAGGATCGAACCCGGGACCCCGTGCGCCGTATCATACGTTTCTACCCACTAGGCCCTAAAATTGTTTAAAACTATAACTATATTTTACTCACTTTTTCTCTCTCTTTCCAGCACCGGTGTCTCGAAAACCTTTAGCGAATGGATTGTTGTCGATTTTCAGCTGTGTAATCTATTTTGACAGAAAAATAAGTTTTAGGTGTAGGCCTTTGACGAATATGTTCGAGTAACGACAAAAACACGTTTAGTTTACCTTTTCGTTTTGGTAAGCGGTAACGGCTATGAACTCGGTCTCCTTGAACACATAAGTACGGAAAGTTGAGTACGGCAACTTGATGATGTCGTTGGCTCTGACTAGATGGAAACGTGGCTGGTATTTGTGCATCGAGTTCAGTATCGTCTGTAAACAGAAAACAATGGGGACGTTTATAATGATATATTATTAGGGCGAAAAGAGACGAAAAAGATAGAGCAGAGGGCGAGGAGATATTTATGTGACACACCTGACGTGCGCGTATGTGTCGCAGTAGCCGTCGGACACAGGTGGCGATTGGCGAGCGCGATAAAAGGCCAGTTGAATTATTAATCGAAAAAGAAACCCCGTCCGGTCGTTAGTACGAGAACGACAAACGACTTGAGAATGCGACACATCCGGCGACACGGTTTTTTGTCCCCTCAAAATGCGGGCTCGCCAACAGCAACAATTGAATTAAAACGAGATAAACGGCACAACCAATAGATGGCTACCCTCCTTTCTAACGAGACTATATTTTTTCATAAAAAAACACGCGTTCCGTTCGGCATATTAATTTCGTCTCTTCCAAACGAGCTCAAGTTTTCTCGAGTTCTATAAACGACAGCAGTACACACCTGGGCGGCGGCGGCGCCATAAAAGACGCCGGCTCCAACAACTACTACTATACAGGCCAACAGTGTGTGTGTGTGGAGTATACGGGTCGTGCTGAGGGCAGGAAAGTATCGAAAAAATCGAATAATAAGCGCAGAACTGGTCGTGATGACCCACTCTGCCGGACCACCGCCACCGCATATACGTGTGTTGAGGGCGACAGCACCAGTCGTGTCCAATTATCTCGGTGTGCGCACTGAGGCGCGTTCCGTTTGACCGGAGAGACACACGATATCGGACGAACCTTAACCATCATCCCCCCGCGAGCTTTCACGAAGAAGAAGAAGAAGAAAATATCACATACTCGTGTAAAAACGACGACCGAACTGCGGGCCACCCCCTATCCTGACACAACGTTTTGAGAAAAAACATTTCCAATTCGTTAGGCAAAACACAACCACTCGGGTCAAACGTAATTTGTGTGTTTTATATACGAGATTTAAAAATTTTTTTTTTATATAAAAAACACAAGTAGCCGAGATCGTGACAAAAACCTTTTCCGCCGATAACACCAAACCCTCTCACCCACCGTGTAGCATTCCCCTTGTAGTCTGGGCAGACACGATAATAATTGATATGGCCGACGACCACAATCGCATTATATTCAAATGGGACGCACGCGGCCGACAGACAACATTTGGCGCCACCGCTTGTTTTCCCATTCAACACTACTGCCCCTCATGTCCACCTCGAACTCAACACGGTCATATATAATACACATATTACAGATATGTGTACACATTGTTTATATCTCATACTGGTTCTCTCACGGTTCTCTCACTGCGACGACGGCACGACGACGCTAATCACTTGGGTACCGAGCAACGGCAGCATCGGGAGCAGCCTCAGCAGTGGCCTCGGGACATTTATCTCGTTAAAACAAAAAAAACCAAATGAAAATAAAGAAGATAATAATATATTACCGATGTAAAACGCGCGGTCGGTCAGCACGAGAGTGATAAACTCGTCGCGTTATTAGTTTTATTCGGTCACAACTGAGGCGACGAAAAGAGGAGGAGAAAAATGTAAAAGTGAAAGATTTTACTGTAAGCGTTTCCCAACAAAACGACCGCCCAATTGTGTTTTGCTTTTAGTGTACAAGTGTTTACGTACCTCTGGAAATCTGTGGAAACGATCGTAAGGCCTGTTTATGGTCTGTAGTGAAAACTGATTTAGGCCCTAATAAATACAAACAACGGATATAAGTATTGAAATCTATAGTTTACACGTTCGAAAGGTAGAATAATACATGATAGATAAAAATAATATTTGAAACCTTTGCATTGGATGCAAGACTTCAACGGACAAAATAATACGAACATTCCAAACGTGTATGAACAAAACCGATTATGGTGTTCCCTTGCAGCGTCTCTAACATTTCGGTTGATAGTCATTCCCTCTGTTGTTACGCATAAATGTTAAATGGACTCAGATCAGAGCACACGTTTTGAATGGACTTTTTTTACCGTCGAGTTTCTACGCGTTGGCTTCGAAAACCTGCACCACCACATCGTCGTACGGGAGACACGTACAATTAGTGTAGTCACTTCACACCCAGCGCACGTACCCGGAGGCGGTGGCGCGTTGGTTTCTCATCGTCTAGGCTCGCCGCCGCCGTCTGCTTTAGACACAACCTGATTAGTGTGCCGCGTTCGTACTTTTTTCTTGTTCTCCCCATTTTTCCGGCACGGTACACACAATAATGCATTTTTTAGACTGTTCGGTGCGATGAAACACGCACAGACTGTTCTACGGCGGTTTTGTTATTACATTATTAAAATATTGCAATGCGTCCGTTTGTGTGCGGAATAAATTAGGCGAGGAAGCGAATTTAATAAGACAAAAGAACGTGAACACATTTAGCGAAATGCCTTTAGCAAGCGGACGGTAGAGGAGACGCCGAAATAATAATAATAATGCATGTGGTTTTCACTTATCGCTCTAGTGACGGTGCGACTCGACAACAAACAACAACAACAACAAAAGAGCCGATTCCAATTAAATATNCAACAACAACAACAAAAGAGCCGATTCCAACTAAATATATATATATGCGTGTGAACATTAAGCGACCGCACCTAAAAGAATGGAATGAAATAAAAACAGCGTTGTTATCACACGACTAATGACACCTACTGCTGAGGAAGCCGCCGCCACGAGAGTAAAAAATAACATTTAAGAGAAAAAAACAATACGATAGGCTGCCGTCCATTAACACTAACGTTGCTGCCGCGGCTGTGTTATTTATTGGCTGCATAAATATCGTTCGGGTGGCCTTTATCTCTGTCATGTGCGTTTCTTTTTATTGTTATTAACACTAGTCTTCGTCTTGGTCGTCGTAGCAGGTTCTGAACATCGCGGGACGTCCGGGCCGAGCAGTACATTATAATAATATGAACCAGGACGATAACATTATACATACAAATAATGGACAACAGCGATTCCTATCAGTTCGAGAAATCTATACATTCAAGCAAAGCAGTAGCCTCGACGCCAATGTTTTTCGGTATACTAATTTGAATAATATTTCAAGTATGTATTGGCCACAACGTTGAAAAAAAATTTCCGATTAACCTCATGCTCAAAAAAAAAAAAAAAAAAAAAACTGACCCCTGTCATTCGGGCCCCGCGAATATATTGCGCGTCGAATAGTCGTAATCATCGTTTTCATGGATAGTAATTTGTTAGTAACTTTTTGTATTCCGAACCGTTTCGGTGGACGTGATGAGCATTGCGGCACGTCGGTTGTTACGTTGAATTTTTTACGGCCAAGTGTCGGGCGCGGCACACGCATCTGTTGTGTGTGTATATTTTTGTTTTATTCAGTCGCCGACCGGCAGCACGACGAAAAAATATTATAATAGAATTAAATGGTTTGTTTCCACAATTTTGAAGAGCGCCGTGTACATATGTATGGGCGGCTCGTGAGAAACGATAATATTATAATATTTTGACGTACAAGGGCGACGGCGGCTCTGGTTACGTTATCATTACTATTTTATATTAAAATCGTGTGTCGTATAATTGGCGGCGTCGGTGTTATAAAAAAAAGTGACTCGAACAAGACGTGATACTCGAAGATTTCTATTATGTTTTTCTACTTTACATAATAATAATAATACACGATGATTGTGTCATTACGTTGCAGAGGCGCCAACCGAATTAACAACAACCCAACTGTCGGAATAACACAACGTTTTAGTGGTCGTTATAGTCTTTATTTTTGAACTGTACAAGCATAACAGGTAAACACGGACCGTACACTATAATTAGGATCGGATCAGTAGTGAATTCTCGGGATATTTGAACCCTATCGAAGAGCGTTTACATATCATACCGAATTTCATTGATAAACAATCTGAGTTTTTAAATCGTCGCACATTCCACAACCGGCAGCAACGTCCGTAAACATTTATTAAACGCATTCGAGTTGCTAGTCGATGTTATCCCAAGAACAGAACTTTACCAAAAGGAGGTACAACATTCGTTACTACCAGGGCCGCCAGTGTGCCCAGCGCCGTCGTGACCCGGCGCCATCAATCAGAGCTCGAGTCGTTTAAACGTACGATTTTTATTTTTTGTTTTACACGGGCAGCAAAAAAACATTTTATTCCGTTGAAAACCCGAAGGTCTTCATCATTTAAATACAATGGGGTAAAAATGTATAGACGAGAAGTGGTTCCGCCGCGACGGAGACGACAGCGCAGCGCGAGACGGACAGACGATTTATTTTTATTATCGGTTTATTATAATTTTAGCATTAACATTTTACCAGCTCGTTCAGATGTCTATCTCGTCCCCAACGTACTTCGATTAAAACAGAGGAGACGTCCGGTAGAAGAGCGTTGTTTCAACGATAGCGGCCGGAGGGGGGGGGGTAGGTACAGCAACAGTAATAATAATGTGTTCATTCCTTACAGTGCAGAAAAAAAAAATGAAGAATCCTCCGGTGTGTATGGATGTCTCATACAGGGCGGCAGTGCGATTCCGGTTTTTCTTTTTAATTAACCAGAAATGCCCTTCGTGCGCATTTTTATTATATACATTACTACCGCCGCCGCTGGAGCAGTAGTCATGACAATTATAACCTGAAATTCTTCATTGTACACCGATGCGTTTTTTACGATCTCATTCATTTTTACTTTCATGATACATAAAAAAAAAAACCCAAATTAATTCTCTTTGTTTTTTAATATTTAGTTCGCGGTCGACCCTTTTTTTATGATTTCACAAAACCGGAAATATTTCCAAGAGGCCAAATTTATGCGGCTGTTGCGCTAAGCCGACAAAAAGAATTCTCAGATCTATAGAGCCTTATCGAGATCCGCCATCGAATACCGTTTTCTATTATAAAGGTGGTATACATAGCACAGAATCCGGTTATACGTTTGGAAACATCAAATCCACTAGTTTTTTTCTTCTAAAATTAAAAAACGGTTTCTCGATATAAAACTCATATTTTTATTGATATTGCTTACATAGTCAGCAAAAGTACCGAATTTCGCCACCGAGTTCTACGACATAATATTTTTTGAAAAACTGCGGGGAGGGTGTGAGAATAAACACGCCTGCGAATGACCATCCGAGGGGTGTGGCCGAGTTAATCCCCTCTGGGCGGCGTCCCCCATATTATCCTGCGCGTGGTTTTAGCCCAACCAACAACAATGTGTACACACGCTATGCCATAGCACCGTCGATCTATATGGTGACAATGAGAATATAATGCTACTGCTCCGAACGATTATTAAGGGAGAGCGGCGCAGTTTACTAAAAAACCAAATGGAACACCACATCGATTATACAACAAATTATACGAAAATATATAAAACGGACACGGTTTTTGTGATATCTGCCGCCGCCTTTAAATAATTATAATATTCAAATAGGACACAAGACGTTTTGTATTAATTAACTGGCGTTCAGAAGAACCGGATGGTACCGACGGATTTAAATTATAACCGTTTGGTTTTTTATTTATTCAACACTTTACTACCATGTTTCAAGACGCTCAAACTAGATCCTTATCGATTTAAGGTTTATATAATGTGATTCACGGCACTTTGTGAACCTCCGTCGCCGCAACCGCTCACCATTTAACATTAAGATGAGCGTACAGCGACGACAGAGGAGAGTAGATCGGAGTCGTGCTTTTTCCCCGGGGACGTTCCCCTTTAAAGCATATTACACATACCGTATCACACACATTTCCCAATGGGATCTGCGTGCAACGGTTACTTGTGCTGTTAAAGGAACCACCAACATACATAAGTACACGTGTACGTATTACATGCCGAGTGTATTACGCGTAACTGTGGCGGTGGCCTAATAACGTTACCGAGGCGGCTGTGTGGGTCCGTATGGCTTTTTATGCGTTATCCTCCCCCGAGAGTACATATAACATTATACACACTATACAAACGTGTACGAGCAGTAAAGAGAGTCGATTACAAAAATCCGATGGCCCGCAATTAATCCTACCCGAAAATGTTATCTCTTCTTTTTTATTTATCTATTATTATTATTTTTGATGGACGCCGACAACGCGATGATCGTCATCAACAATGTGATCTCGTTCTATTGTGTACCGTTGTGTCGGATCCACGAAAATCATCCGGTAGAGCGGAATATGTGGGAGCCGCTACCGTTTGCAATTTACAAATGGTTTTATCGTAGAGAGCAACGAGAATGATCGCTTGCAGTGTGTACATCATATATCGACTAAATAAAATCTGATCACTTTCCCAGGGTTAATCAACATAATCCAGGGGTTATGAAATCAACCGGGTATAAAAACTTTTCAAATAAATCAATACAATTTTGTTGTACTACATGACAGAAAATTAGAAAACGGTATTTTCGCTAAACAGACATTTTTGTCATGTACGATCAAATGAAATAATAAAACGTTACTTCGTTTTAAGAAAAATACGTCGAAAACAACTCGATGATACGTTCATCAATTAAGCACCGAGGGAACATATTTATGAGACATTTCATCCAATGGAGTTACACAGCCTCTTATTAGCGCTCTTCTTTTTGCACGCAATGTAAAACTTCCTCTAAAACGCGATTTTTTTGGCGCCGATCGTCACTCATTTAGTTGTACGCGGATACTTGTCCGTGTCCAAAAAGGATCGGATGAGGTGACAGTACTTTGTATACCACTCGAGTCGGAGGCGCCACCGACGACGCGGTGTCAGGTACACACACACACACACACACAAGACCCTTTACACAGTATTACTATTACTCGGACAAGGAGTGTTATCCATTTCAGTGGTCAATATCAGTGGACAAGAGCCAGATAGACTATGAAAGGAGAAAAAAGGATACCGCGCCCTGTGTCGACTTTCCGGTCAAACGGTCATTCCCAAAGACCCGGCCGCCATCCAGTGGACGCCGAAAAGGGCCACGCTCTCTTTTGTATGAAATCGGCGTTGTGTTAACGCATAACAAAACGAGATCACTACACCACTTTTGCGGTGTCTTTGGCAAATTGCGTTGATACATAAAAGATGTTATTTTGAAACCCAGTAGCTTCAGCCAGCAAATTGGTGTTGGTCGGCAGAGTGCGTTTAAAAATGTCGAAACTGTGCAGTTTTCTCGAGTAAAAGTGCACCTCATCTCCTCGACATGCTAAAACGGCTCAGAAAAGTTAAAGGAGCCGGAAGATTCCGAGCCAGAGATAAGTAATACTTCTCGAACCTCGTGATCGTGCGGCGGTTTACTGTGTATGAATTACTCCAAAGAGTAATAAAAAAAATAGTTATACAACTTATTAGTTGTTGTCGTCTGCGATGTATGTCGTGTATGTTTTCTCCCTCGTTTGTCGGTTTACCTTTTTTTTTTTTTACAAGACATAAACAATATTGTAAATTGCGATGAAATCTGCAGCCATTACAACGTCGACGAAACACACGACCGTCGTGTCATCAGTGCTCATAAATCCAAGTTTTTAGCGAATGCGTCTACGTGTAACGATCTTGTCTAGGGTGCGCCGCCGGTGGGATGTTTATGAAGATCCGTACGGGTATACAACGCAAGAGTAGTGTGTGCTGTTGGAAAGGTGTTGGAAGGCGACGGCAGCCGTGGCGACGGACCACTCAACCCCGTCTGGCTAGTCCCATACCCTCGTGTGCCGCCACCGTTTAATGACTTTTGGCGACAGCACCCTAATTAATAGAAAAAGTCTGGTTCTCAGCGGGCACCACTGTGTGTTAATTGAACAGCTATAAAAATCCTATCTGTTAATAATCTCCGGTATACAGTGTGTTTTTTATCCCACTGACGTTTACCGCCGCCGCCGCCGTAGACGCCGACCAGTGTAAACGTGTGCCGGCACTACAGAGTGACATCCGATTTTCACACAAGTCCTAAAAGGGGTCGACGCCGAGGTTTTTCGAGCAAATATTTGGTGTCAACCTCCACCGCTACATCCCCCGCCCAAGGAAAAAACAACAACCGGAATTCTATGTGTACTAACATGCACTTACATAGATGCTCTTGTGAAACACTTAACAACTGCAATGTCGTATGTACCAAACTCCGCCGACGCCGTCCCTCCCCATTGAAGCGACGTCGATTGCTGCCGGCAGCTGAATCGCTGACATCAGCCTTAACCACCCCAAATGTGTGTAAGCTTATATGAGTTGTCGCTATACAAGTATCGAGTATTTGTTTACTGCAATACGAGCGGGGAAAAAATAATAATACGCGGAAAAACAAAACCCAACACCGTGTTTACCTTGAGATTAATAGTTCCCATAACATTTAAATAAAAAGTATTATGTCTCTTGGTGTCACACGCTATCGTAAAAATATGGCGCAAATGTAGTTTTTTGAAATAACTAAGAAAAACAGTAATATGATGTACTCACAAATCCGTGTTTGTCAGATATGTTGTTGGTGAGCTTTAACTTGTGAAACGAAACGACCTTTTGCATCCACTGTTCGCCAGTCGACGGAGAATCGGGGTGAATGTACATTCGTTTGGGCATTTCGGGGTCAGCTTTACCAGCTACCATCCATCGACTAATAAAAACAACGACGATCAGTCATTAGAATATGATAAAATATGATAAAAAACAGCTATTTGATCATGCAATACTTAATTTCAAGACTACATTTTCAAAAAATAGGACCAGAGTACTCTGACAATATTTAGAAAAAAAAAAAAAGTTTACATTTAAATAAATAAAAAAAAAAAAAAAAACAGAGAGTAGCATGCTCGAGAAGAAGGACACTTATGTCAAATGACAATTTTAATACAAACGAGCTATATCAACCCACACACGGCACGTAATTTAGATTATTTTTGTTGATTTAAATTAAAAAAAAAATTACAAAAATGTTTACGGTTAAAAACTCAACAAAAAGGCCATATACTCGTAATAAATGGTTCTCTCTGTGAATTAAATTATTTTCGGCTCAGTGAATTACTTTTTTCCGTGTCGGGAGAGTAACTGTGCGGATATTTAACGATATTTGATGATGTTAATGTATACAACAAAAATATGCACTTAAAGCTACAAAGCAACGTTACCGTCAAGATGGTCCTGATTAAAAAAAAACGTAGTCGTTTAAAATTGAAATTTGTTTACTTTTTGTACCTGTTGTGGAACTTATAGCGACAGTCATCGGCGGCTACGATGTCCATTAGTAGAATGTACTTGGCCTTTTTGTCAAGTCCCATAACTCGGACTTTGTAAGCGGGGAACATCCGTCTAATCAAACAAAAACAAAAGAAAAACTAAAAATGATGTAAACATTTCTACAGGGAAACATAAAATAACAGTAATGAAAATCATACAACGACACATGGACACTGCCGTGGGGAGGGGTTGTTCGGTAGCTCATTTCTATTGCACGTATTACATTCGTTAATTAAATGTACCTGTTGTGGAACTTATACCGGTAGTCGTCCATGGCTACGATGTCCAGCAATAAGATGTACTTGGCTTTGGCGTCTAGACCGGTCACGCGAAATCTCATTTGGGGAAACATTTGCCTGCAGCAAAACACTCATTTTTACCCATCACAAAAGCGTATTACAGTGTTGGCGCGACCTAGTGCTAAGGCGTATCGCACGAATGCAAAACTCATTCATTGTTCAATGGTAAAAACCATCCCTTCGGAAACGGGCGCGCAGCAAAAACACTCGGTGCCATCTGCTCGACGCTTNCATTTGCCTGCAGCAAAACACTCATTTTTACCCATCACAAAAGCGTATTACAGTGTTGGCGCGACCTAGTGCTAAGGCGTATCACACGAATGCAAAACTTGTTCATTGTTGAATGGTAAAAACCATCCCTTCGGAAACGGGCGCGCAGCAAAAACACTCGGTGCCATCTGCTCGACGCTTACACACACACACACACGATTATCGTTATCCCGCGTACGCTCATCACATCACATCATCATATTAAGCGGCGGCGGCCATGTTTTACCGTCACAATAGGATCAGTGCATGATACCTCGCGCTTCATTACTACTACGGTAAGTACGCACCATTGCTCGCGTCCCCGTTCACACCATCGCACACCCTCCGCCGTCCCGTCATCTCTCAATGCCATACTGAATTCGGGTGCACAGGGTCCATTATTCGCCAGCGCCCCCGTTTCATTGTGCTCAGCGCGAGCGCTTCAACCGCTCCCACGCGAAACGTACAGTAATAACAGTATACAGAGGATAATGTGCGCGTATTCACTTGGTATTGTATTTTCATAAACGTGTGGGACTGCTGCCAGAGGGTTCGGACTGCTTTGGGGTCGCGATAGGCGTGTTCATCGGGCCAAGTCCGGAAGTGGACCGAACTCGATCGGAGGATGGCGGCCGTGCAAGACTCGTACGAGTAAACGTAAAAAACGAATAATGCGGGAAACACGATCGGTTTTTTATTTTTTACAAACGCGCAGTGTGTACGTTTGCCGACATTGTAAAAACTGGACAAAAAACCAGCTCCGAGCAATAATTTGTTCCTATTATTTCCGTGTCGATCCATTGTTCACGTGTCATACAGCAATTCGACAGATATCGTTTTCACAAAATAAACGTTATACGTACAAACGTTTTTAAGCCAACAGAACAATTCGTCCAACCCCCGTGATAATTTATGATGAATTGCAATTAGAAAACGGTTAGCGGTTAATTTTTCAGATTTCAATCATTTCATTCTTGTCAAAACACATTTTTTTGCGTTTCATAACAATCACTGGTAAACATATTTCACTAGTGCCGTAGATCGACACGGCTAAAACGGCAATCGTCATTTTATCGTTTTTTTTTTTTTAATGTCTATTATAATAGATATTTAACTGCCCCGAGTTTAATAACCGCCTCGACATTTTCAAAGTTCATGTTGTACTAACATTGATTTGTATTTTTCTGTACGGTTGTAATAACTACTGTGCACACATTATTATTCGTATAGGCCAATTATTTTCGTAAATACCCTAATTAATTCATTAAAATTGGCAGCTAAATTTACTGGTAAAACATTAATTTTATTAGCACCCTCAATTGAAACGCAGTTTATACAAAAATCATCATTAACGCGCGGCGTATAGTTAATGTTTAACGGCTCCTAATTAAATTGTAAAGGTTATATATTATAACAATATAAATTTACATATTAACACTCGCGATCTACAAGAAAATATCAAAGAATACATTAAGTTACCCGCTCAGTAACTAGTTTGAAACATTTAAATACGTTAATAACCTATGCGCCCACATGTTTTACGAGGACAAATTTTAAGTTCGTGTAACGTAAATAAGTAATTTTTTTAACCATAACTTACAAATAAACCGAGAAAAATTAATAAAGGTAATAACTTAACGGTATGTTTTTTTGGTGCCAAAAACGCACTGTACTAGAGAGTTTTGAAGATTATAAAAATTAAAAGGAACAATTTAATATTTATTCTGCCAATATTTGCATCTTCAATGTATTTTAGTTTACACGAGAACATCAATAAAATATCGAGTACTACTGAACGCAGCGAGCTAAAAAAAGGTGCGCCACTACTGCCGCCATCGTTTTATAAATACATATGGATGGCATTTTTTTACGAAAGGATTGTCTCTCTTAACAGGATGACGCTACACGAGTATTGTGTGCAAAAAAATCTCGTATTGTTAATGCATGTTACTTTTTTTCGGTGCAGTTAAATAAGTGAATTTCTCAGTTAATACGCGCAAGGACAATAGAACAAAAGACGCGTTGGTCGACGGGACGGGCGTATCTGTCGTGAAGTCACCGATGCGCGTTTTGCAGGTACCTGATGGTTTTTGATGAATTTTCACACGGCGTCTCTCTATCCCGCCGGCGGCACCGACAACAACAACAATAATAATGATGCGCGTAAAATGTAAAAAAAGGACGGGACGATCCCGTGAAAGTGTTAAACACCGCGTGTAGGTGTGTGTACACGGTCGATTGGACAAAGAAGGTGTCTTCCTATTGTGCGTAATGGGTTTCCATGCCTATAAAAACTGTTTGGAGTACAATAAGGCGTGGACTGCTACCGGTGCGGTACTAGAAGTGCGTTGAGAAGAAGAACAGCGTAAACGCATTGTACGTGCACGTGCAGCTTTCCGGCTAATGTGCCCAGTAAACATACCGGCGGCGGCGGCACACCCGAAAAACGCTGTTACGGGCGGTCTCGCAAGTCGTGTACGTTCTTGGAATTATACACAAAGGTGTGTGAGATGGGTTTTACGCGCCGCCGTTGGGTTTGGGTATGCGCCAGTGTAGGTAACGACGAAACGTACATTATGTAAATCGCCGCAGCGATGGACAAAAAACAATCGTCGGGTTATAATCGAAACGGCGCATACATGTGTTGGTGTATAAAAGTGATTTCGGTAAAACGCACGGATGGTTAGCGATATGATTGATAGTGGAATGCCCGGGCAACGGGTGGTGGCGCCAGCAGTAAAAACAAACATACCCCGCGGCCAGTGTTAAAAACCGTGTCCGCCCATCGCAGTCGTCGTAAAATAAATACAAAACGGAGAGAGAAGGGAAAAAATATTCCGGTTAATTTTACCTTCTCTCGTCACTTTTTGATTTATAAACGCTTTGTTAACCGTATACTGCCGTGTAAATGTATTCCTCTTTTTCGGTCATCAACCGACGGACGGCACGACACAACAACGTCGTCCTTTAACTGACCGGCACGCACCAGTACAACTGTTGGCTGAAGAAATTATAATTAACAAACTAAACTCGTGCGAACCGATTGAACTACTACCTCGGAGCCGATTTAGTGGGCGTAGCGATTGCAATAGAATAATAAAAAAAAAATCGTCACATCTTGTTATCGCTGTGTCGGTTTAAGAAAATCCGCTCGAACTTAAACGAATCATTGCTAATTTAACTAGGGAAATTATTATACATCAATTGGTAACCGTTAACGGGCGCGCGTCACCAGTACTTAGTAAAATAATTCCAAGTCTCGTATTGTCAGAGATTTTATAATTGAAATAATAACAAACTAGCGATTCGCGCGTACAGTGTTGAATTTATCTCGACAGTTATAAATTATAACGAAAAAACATGTATTTTTTGGCATTCCGAGGGAGATGCGCAATACCGGTGATTATGTTACGACGGAAAGAATAAAGCACTGCAAAAGAGAAACAATACGGTGAAAGAGTGTTGACAGTTTCTTTTGAAAAGGTGTTGGCCAAAACAAATGCCGCAGGATGTGAAATCTCAAGAAAGTCGGTTGAAAGGGATGAGTAGGTAATGCATACTCTACACAGACGCGGCGTCAAAAGGATATTATACTCGCAGTTCTTCTTATGTTCGAGTATATATATATACACACACCGTCAGAATGTGAAAATTAGCCTGGTGTTAACATTTCCTCTAAAGGACACTCGACTCGACAACAACCAAGCCGGAGAAACTCTTCCGGAAAAGCAAGCGCTTTTCCATATTTTCAAATGAAGCCGAGTCGGTAGTGAGTTAGGGGAGGTTTGAAGTGGACTTTTGTGTACGGCTTATAACGGTCCGGTGAATAAACTCTCTGCCCGTACCGGGTGAACGCTATTTTATGCCGTTGAATGAGAATTATACGACTGTTATACGGTTATTATTTATGCGTTCGCTTTATTATTATCATTATTAGTTTCCTCGAGACGCTCTTTTATTTTGTTTTTTCGCTCCTATTATTATTATAGCGTACACTGCCGAGTGTCATAATTTGAATGCTTCTTATAACTTTATGGAATTGCATGGAAAGGAAAAAATACTCGTTATAAACTATTAAGATGAAACAATCGATTGAATTCGTGCGGAATTTCCTCAAAATCGAGCTGTGGATAAAATGAGAAATTATACGGGTAAAATTGTTCTACAGACTCCACTCGGAGAGTAGAAACTTGGATTTTATTAGTAATTAAGTACGGCATAATGAGTGTAAGAAATAAGCTAGTCTGACTACCGTCGACCGATAAAAAAAGTGTCTATTAACGTTTTTTCGAGAGGCATTAAGAGTGTTATTAAGCGTTTCTCGCAAGTGTATTGAAATTCTTATACTGACCGGCTACTGAATAAATGTACCTAGCGACCCGAGAGAAATAAACAATTACAAAACAAGAAGAGAATACCGATACCGTCTAATCAAATGTCTCTCAATTAGCCGACTTGGATTTTGCAAATAGCCATTCAATGGCCATCTGCTTTGATCTTCAGAGAAGATAATATTACAATTTA